AAGGATCACAAGCCGTTGCCATGGGCATACAAAGATCTTGCACCCGCGCAGCCTTCGAAGACCGAGACTGTTCACATGAGGGAGTTCGGGGAGGCTGGATTGACCAAGAATTCGTTGGAGGCGATGGGTTTCAAAGTGGGGTCAATGGTGACGAAAACTAACGGACCTGATACAAGGTACGTGGTGGAATCTTGCACAGAGCAGAATGTCTCATTGAAGTCCGTTGCCATGGCTAAGGCCAAACCATTCAAAGTGCCGATTGGAAAAGTTGCAGACGAATACAAAGTTGTGCCGATTGAGGAATTATTTTCAATGGCCGTGAACGTCGAAAGTGCAAACGAGTTGGACCATCACGATATACATATCGAATTGGGGAAATCCCGTGTGCGCGAAGCCCTCGCGCACACATACTATCGTACGGTTGGGGCGGTTTCTGTGAATCTAGCATGGGCCAACACCCCTAAACCGAGCGTGAGGGAAATGACCACGACTACATCATACGAGAAGGGTGAGTTGATCTTGGTTCCATTCTCGTCTGTAATTGGAGTGTCTAAAGAATGCCCTACCACGTCAGTCGCTCTCCGCACCCAAGGCGTTGCGCCCAAAGGCTACGAAGCATTTGTTTCTCCCAGGATCGACCTCCCGAAGTTTGGTAAATCAAGCCCAGAGCAGTTTGTGGTTCCATATTGGTTGGTGCCGTTGGCGAAGCAAGGGAGTGCCGTCAATCTCATTCACGGCGTCGTGAGGGTAAAGCTGCCTGTCGAGAGCGCCGTCCTCCATGATGGCCCTTACAACAAGGGTTCACAGCTTGCAGAGACCATCGTGGAGATTCCGATATTGTACAACTCTGTTGCGATCAAGTCAGGGACAGCTTTGTATCGCAGCGATAAGGCGGCCCCGAAGAGGCCCTCCGACGCTGCGAGCTCTGCCGCTGGTGTAAAGAAGGTGAAGGCGTGAAGCCATCACCCAATGCATGCATGAACAATCTCTTCTCGCGAGCTCCCTCACAACGCACAGGGGGTGGATAGAATTTAGGGACAGGGGGCAAAACCAGGAGATCGTTGGGAACATCTGAGGTTTGTAAATGTGTTAAGCTGTCCTCCCATCTGGTGCCCCGTCCTGCGGCCTGGCGCCCGCCGTGGCCACGTTGGTTCGAAGAAGCGCTCTCAAGTTGTTGGTTTTCAGCGCATCCAGTGCCCCCCTGGAGAATGACGTTAGACCCTCGCCCTCACCCCACCAAGCATCTCGATGTATGTCGCAAAGTTGTTAATGTGGTTGAGTTGCGCGGCACCGCCGTCGCCGTTGTCGGCCTCGAGTTTTTCGTTGCCCCTGTGCCAGCCCGACACGTGAGGCCGCAGTGCGTTCTGCTGAAGTATGGTCTTGTCCCCCCCCCATCCTTCTCATGTCTCCTCGTCCTCGCCGCTCCTCCGAGGATTGCACACCCCCCAAGAAGACGTCCCCAAGGGGGCCCAAGAGGCCCCAACAATGCCCCAAAAAGGTTCCAAAGAGGCCCCAATACATCCACCCAAGGGCCCCCGATGTTACCCAAACGCAATAGACAAGTAGAAACGAGTAGACCAACAAATACGAAACGAGTAAGACGGGTAAATCAAGCTAACACACACAAGCACACATTGTGAACGAATAAAAACGCATGAAGCGGATGCAAAGAGTGAAACACATATAACGAGTTTTGTATCATCACACCACATATCATCATCACACTCACCACACATCATACATCCAACGTGCATGGAGCCCAGCCCGAGCATTGTGCGATTGGGGTGTTGGCCCGAGCTGTGCTGTCCATGGTTTCTCTGCGTTTATGTCCTGTGCTCACCGCGCATCATACATCCCACGAGCGTTGTGCGATTGGGGTGTTGGCCCGAGCTGTGCTGGCTCAAGCTTGCGCACCCCTCTGTATCTTGACTTGGCGCCTGAATATCATGGCACACCCCGCTCCGCTTGTGCAGGCGTTGGGCCTGCAGTCGGCGCCCGATTCATACGAGCGCTTTCCCGACACAGTGACAGAGTGGGAGCAGCAGCAAAGGGAGAAGAAGGAAACGGAGGCAGCGAAGGGAGGAACGATCGAGGTCCAAGAGAGCCCTGACGACGATGCGGGCGCAGATCCTAGCTTGCCAGTCGCCGCAGCAGCTGAGAAGAGCCCGAGCGACGTAATGGGGGGCGGCCCCTATGCACGCCCGCGCCTTCACATCCCAGAGCTACGCAAGCGGTCGAGAGCATACGAGACATACGATGACATCGAGAACGTCGGCGATGACGTCAACGCGAAGGCGATGTTCCAGGCCATGCTGAACAATCCTGTATCTACGCATAGCGACCCCAGCAACAAAATGGTGAAGCGCACGTTCCGTGTCCTTTACGAGATCGAGGAGATCTGGGTCAGCAGCTCCCAGAAGCCGTGAGATGACAAACTTTCTGGTGAAGCCCGTGCAGGGCACTCAGCTCACTATATTTATATAGTCTGGTCCATCTGCGGCCGCTGCCGCCATGTCCGTGGTGAACGTATCGGCTGCGCTCCCCCGACAAAATACATCATTATCATCATCACCATCGTCATCACGAATTGCGTTGCGGCATCACCATCATCATCATCATCACCATCATCATCATCCTCATATCATCATCACCATCATCATCATCACCATCGCCATCATCATTACCATCATACCATCATCATCACCATCATCATCACCACCATCATCATCACTATCATCATCATCACCATCACCATCATATCTCATTGAGTTTTATTGTGGTATTTTGAACTGCGTTGCGTTGCATTGTCCCAACAAGCGGAGCTGTGGTGGCACTGAGTCGCTGCCCTGGCGATAGCGTTGACGATGGAGTGGTGCGCAAGAGGGCGCGCTCGCATTCATGTCGCCGTAGCTGTTTTGGGCTCAAGCCGTCGAGTGAGATTTATAGCACACGCTCGGACTTAAGTTGATACTTAAGTTGATTTTCGGACTCCAATGCCGCTCACCCTTCGCCGTGAGTACGTCGTCATTTCCAGCGACCGAGATCAGAGCATCAATGGGAGCTGGGTTGCCAGGGTTGTCGAGCGCAATGGCGTGGAGTTCGTTGTGCCCAACCGCTCGGACCACATATGCGTGAAGCTGTTGAAGAATAACTTCGACATGGTGACTGAATTGCAACGCCTCCGCAACGAGAAGGTAACTAAACTAATGCAGGACATCGAGCGTGCGGCGGACGAGATGGCGGACGCCGAGGAGGATAGCGATACTGGTGGGCCTCGCCTCAAACGCTCTCGGAGGCAGCTGGCCGACGAAATCAGCGAAGTCATTGAGCTTGACGTACAGGACACCTTCGAGAACTGGCACAAAGTCAGAGTGTTACGTGCCGCTGATGAGAGGGCGCTACTCCACTTGGAGCTCACCGTCGACAACATCAACCTCCTCCACAACGCTCCAATGCCCCGTGATCAGCCACTGTTCCGCCCGAGTGTCAACGATGAGAACATCAAGTGGATCTCTTCTCGGAATACTTTGAGGCTCAGTTACTTCGACATGGCAAGCCAGAGGTGGAAGGTGAAATCCATGAAGATCAAGTTCTCGTCTGACTACGCCGAGATGCAGGACCGCGTCGACAAGACGGTGAAAGTCTTGCAGACATTCTTCCAGGAGCACCACGGCGTCCACATCGACCCCGGCATCGCAGAGGCAGGGGAGGACGGAGGCGATGACGCTGATGTCGCAATGGAGTGAGCTATAGGGCCGCGGGCATATACGTTCGGCGGTGGGGACGCTTGGCGTATACACGAGAGTCGGGTTTTGCAAGCGCGACCAGTGGCAGTCTGTCCTATGCATAGCAGGCCTGTCGCATCGGGGCATGAATCGCAGGTGCTGGCGCACGGGCGGCCACGGCCGAAACAGATCGCACAATTGTGCGCGTACTAGCGACATACACAGCAGATCGTTGAAAAAAACAACACCAACACCATCGCCACAAGTGCTCTCGGCATCATCCGCATGGTCATCAGCATCGTCTTTAGGAGCGATCTCGTCGTAGTCGTTTCCCGCCTCGGCGGGGCGAGCGAACAAGCACGAACTTCATATAGCGAGCTCGACGTAAAAGCACGAGCTCGCTATAGCGAGCCCGCGCAAATGCACGGGCTTCAAAACGTAACATAGGTGCCTGAGGCACCTATGTTGGACTTTTAAGCCCGTGCACTTGCGCGAGCTCGCTATAGCGAGCTCGTGCTTTTACGTCGAGCTCTCTATATGAAGTTCGTGTTTCTGGGGGGCGGCCTCGGAAGCGCCAGATCTGTCGGGCCAAGGGCGGCTGTTCGACGGCGTAGACGACGTCGTGAATGACGATGTCCTCCTCCTCCTCCTCCCGTCGGGCCCCAAGTTGGCCTAAGTAGGGGTCCCAAAAAAGAGCCCCGAGGCGGCCGCCAGGTCCTAAGTTGACCGACATGGAGATCCAAACAACGAGCCCCAAGGAGGCCGCCGAGCCCCAAGTTGACCGAAGTATAGATCCCGCAAACGAGCCCCAAGGCGGCCGCTGAGCCCCAAGTTGACCAAAGTAGAGATCCCAAACACGAACCCCAAGTGCGGGGTTGGCGTGCTGAAGGTCCCTCGTCCTCCTCCTTCCCTCCTCCCTCTTCCTTCCCTCCTCCTCCTAGGGGGTCCCCGACGAACCTTCCCCCGCTATAGCATCCCCTCATCCTTTGTACCCTCGCCTGTCATTTCGCGGGGGGGAGGATTCCCATTTTTGTTCCTGGGCCTCGTCCTCAGGAGAGGCCCAGGGACAAAAATGGGAATCCTCCTCCTCCTCCATCCCCGTAGCCATTTTGGCTTAGGCAGGTTTGCGAGCTTGCAGTACAGACACAACGACGGTTGGCTGCACTCACGATTGGCGCAATGGCTTCGGCGCATAGCGCGATCGTCACGGCACTTCAGCATCGGGTTCAGTTTGTCACTGCCCAAGCGGCGACTACAGGGACCCCCGTCGGCTCGATGCTAGACGCGCAGTTGCAGGCGATGTTGGTCCAGATTCAGCAGGCGACTGGGATCGCGCTCCAGGGGGGGACCGAGATCATGAACGAGGTAGGCCGTGGCCCGTGGACAGTAGAACACAGGCAGGCCTTCTCTATTGCCGTGAGCAATAACATTGCGGCGCCCGTCGCGCGGTCGACTCGTCCTACCCAGAAGTGCAGTGCCATCCGCAACTTCTTCGCGGAAGGCGATTGGGCGATCTTCGAGAGCAGCCAGCTGACCGAAGAGCCGAAGCTGCAGGCGATGGCGAAGAGGCTTTCCATGCTCGGCATCGCGTGCCCATGCGAGAAGCTCTTGATGTCGGCATGCGCGTTGCTGGTCATGAAGGGCGACCTCCCGCCGAAGGACCACGCTCAGAAACGCGAAATGTGCCACAACCTGTCGAAGCTGATCAAGATGCACGACAAGACGACTACATGGCCGTTCACCTACATCACGAACTACATGGACAGCCCCCTGACCTTGCCTCCAGAGATTTATGCCCACGCATACGGCGCCGACAAGCCCTGTCCACCACCCCCACCGTTCGAGACGTCGGTCTACAACGATGCCGTCTTGGGAATGTGCTACAGGTCCAACCACACTGGCGTGTCGGGCAGCAAGAAATCCTCTGGCACCTCACTTGCTGTTCCGACCGCAGGCGCATTGCAGCAGCATCATCAACAAGTTGACGTGATGCAGATGTGCATGGGGATGATGGGCGCGATGATGCAGCGCATGGGGGTGACGCCGACTGGAGCAGACAACGTCAACGACGGCGGCATCAACATTACAATGCTGAAGGGCGGCGCGGCTTCTCCCAAGTCTTCGGCACCCACTCATACGTTGAGTGCAGAGACTCTGTCTCTGGGGGGTTCGCCCAAAGAACCGATGCCAGCACTCCCCGCGCCGGCGGAGCCCGAGAAGACCGCGGCGGCCGCGGTTGATGAGGCCAAGGAGCTCGAGAAGAAGATGGTCGCATCTGCCCAGGCCGTCGGCCATCCCACCGCTGCATCGCAGGTAGGCGGCAAGCGCAAGGCGGCAGGGCATGCCGACGGCGCCGCCGACGGCGCCGCCGACGGCGACTCGGCTCCGGAGGCCCGGGCCAAAGGCAAGGCCAAGGCAAAGGGCAAGGGCAAGGCCAAGGCAAAAGCTAAGGCCAAGGCAACAGCTACCAAGGCCAAAGCCAAAGCCGCTGCCGCAGGTGGGCCATACATCATCAAGCATGGCAAGTTCACGGCCGACATCTCGCATCTCTTGACGCCCGAGCTTGCCAAGGGCTGCATCCCGAAGAACTTCAAGTGCAAGGCTTACGACCGCGCGAAGTACCTAGCTCAGCAGGCGGGGTTGAGCAGTTCAGCTCAGACATCGGTTGCTCAGATGGCTTATGCCAAAGCAGCCGAGTACCTCGCGGCCTGAGTGGATGCATGCTTCTACAGTCTCTTTCTTTCTGCCCCTTCGCAGTGGGGCTGCGGTCGGGCCATGCGCACTATAGTACACTCTACTCGTGGGCTGTCAGAGGGCCCAATGAAACGCCCTCGCTCTACTCCGCTGGCACCAGCCAACTCCGACCGAATGGAGGACGAACTCGCTCTACTCCGCTGGCACCAGCCAGCTCCGACCGAATCCCCCCTTGGGACAGCTTGGAGGTTTCTTGGGCTGTCTTGGAGGCCATCTTGAGGCCATGTTAGGCCGTCTGCTTCGTAGGCCGTCTTTGAAACATAGTGTGGCCATCTTGGCGGTCTTGGAGGCCATCTTGGGCGTCTTGCAGGCCTCTTGGGCCGTCCTTGGTAAATCTTATGGCGCATGATGTTATATATGTATATATATATACACATGTATGTGTGTATATAGACATACATACAAACAAACTTGCGTACGTGCCTGCATGCATACATACATTCATTTTCAGGGCCCCAGCGTGAGTATCTACAGCAAGAGCCCCCATGTGCACTTTTCGGGCCTTCTGAGACTCCTTTTGGATCCTTCTTGGGCCCTTAGCTTGGAGATCTACCATGTATATGATAGGTGTTCGTGGAGATGTACCCTGTATATGATAAGTGTTCGTGTGCGAGTGAAATGCAAGGAAGTCTCGAGCTGGAGCTCGACAGCCCACGTGACATGAAATTTCCTGCCCGCCCATCCTCGCACCCAAACCCCAAACTCCTCTAATTTCGTGAGCCATTTTGGCTCTCGAGGTGTTCTTCACACATGCAGAAGCGCCTTCGGTTGACCGAATGCGGTAAACATAGTTTCGTGACTGCTAGAGGCATCGAGCGATTGCTGCAGCAGGTGAGGGATGAAGGCCTGCCCGACGCGTTTTCGGCAGCCACCCAGGCGAGAAAGCGCAGAGAAATCGCCCACCAGGCGACTTCACATGGCCCCCTTTTGCGCCGAGTGGCGGCGATGTCTATAGATGGAAAGGAGGTGGATCTGTGGTTTCAAGACCCTCTCGCGTTCTTGGAGTGTGCGTGCAGTCGGTCTCCACACTGCGCGTCGATGATCACAAAGGCCCTCGATGCCAACGGTAACTCACTCTCGATCCTTATCTATTCCGATGAGGTGACTCCTGGCAACGTGCTAGCAGAGCATAATGACCGAAAGGTACAAGCACTGTATTGGTCATTCACCGAACTGGGATACCCAGCACTCTCTAATGAGATTTCATGGAACACAATATGCGCTATCCGCAGCTCTGTGGTCAACAGTCTCCCTGGAGGCCTCTCGGAGGTTTTCAAATATGCTCTGAAATTGTTTTTTCGGAGCGCCCGCGGGAAAGGACCTTCGACGAGGAGTGCCTTTCAAGATAGGTGCAGACGGTGAACAGCGATTGATTGTAGGCAGGCTTGGAGTGATGATACAGGACGAAAGAGCACATAAATTCTCATTTCAGTGCAAGGGTGCCGGAGGACACAAACTGTGTTGTCTTTGCATGAACGCGACCGATCTGAGGTCCGCCCTGTTGCCCGACCCCACGGGGTTCTTGGTTGCCTCGGACGTCGTCGACGTGTCGCAGTTCCAGCCCCACACTGGAAGCAGCATCCGAGGCATCCAGCGCCGACTTCATGAAGTTGCAAATGAAGGCGGTCGGAAGGACAAGCTAACAGATCTCCAGTCTTTACTTGGTTTCAATTATACGCCAACTGGCGTGTTGGCAGACGAAGAGTTAGATGTAAACCTTCCAGATGTTTTTCAATGGGACTGGATGCATTGCTACATGGTTGGAGGGGTCTTCGTAAAGGAAGGGGAACAATTGCTCCAGCGTCTGCACACACATGGGCTGGGCGTGCGTGCGCTCCATGAGTATCTCCAGCACTGGCAGTGGCCGCTTGGATACAGCCACGCGAAACAAACATGTATCAAGAAGAAGATGGGCGGTAGTGCATCGGAGCTCATGTCGCTGGCGCCCGTACTTGGAAGGTTCGTGATGGAGGTAGTTCCTGATGGAGTGTGTCCGCTTGAGGTTGAATCGTGCTTGGCCCTCGTCCGTGTTGTTGGGTTGCTCTCAGTTGTCAACAGCGGTCAAGTTTCAGCGATCGAGCTCGGGGAGTCGATCGCTAGGCATTTGGCTTTACACAAGCGTGCATACGGAGTAGAGGCGTGGGTTCCAAAGTTCCACTGGGTGCTACACCTGCCAGAACATCTTCGGAAGCACACCATATTGTTGTCATGTTTCCTAATGGAAGGGAAACATAAGGTCATCAAGACCATGGCCCAGCCACGTAGGAATACAAAATCATATGATCAAAACTTGTTAGAGGAGTGCACTGTGTTTCACTTGTTCCAGTTGGAACACCACGCGATCGAAGGCGTGGATTTGCTTGGGCCGAAGGCTCCGAGCAAGAAGCTGCTCGCAGAAATTGGTAGTCTGTTTCCTTTGGCTGATTTGCATGACGCGGTGGCGTCAAAGTCAGCCCACGTGCACTGCAGAGCTGTGCAGATCGGCGATTGCGTTTCATATATCACGTCCAACAATAGCCTTTGTTTTGGCGCAGTTTTGGTGCATTGCAAAGTGCAGGGGGTGATGTTCACTTTCGTTTCTATGTGGGACGTGATCGATGTTGGAGCAGAGTGCGCGAAATGCACCGTGCAGGATCGTGCCTGCATAGTCCGCAGCGAAGCAATTGTCGAGCCTTGTATATATTGGCCAACGAAGGTTGGCTCAATCAGCACTGTGATTTTTTCTCCAAGACTGCAACAGAGGGTCTTTCGGCACGCATGAATGTGATGCGCACTTCTGTGGTAAAAGCTTTCGCTTTTATTCAGCGGCTTCCGCCAGCACCGACCTCTGTCTTCGCAATCTGCCTGCCTCCTCTCCCTAACCTCCTCCGCCCTTTCTCTTACTCCTCGCCCCTCCTCCCCTCCCTTCCCCCTCTCTCCTCACCCTCTCGCCCCCTCCTTCCGCTGAGGCTTTCCCTTCGGTAGGCGCTCGGCATCAGAGGACCTCCGAAGACCTCAGAGGACCTCGTTCCACGGACGCCCGAATCGTCAAGGAGACAAGCGTGAGAACCAACACTTTAAGCCACCGTAGGTTTCTATCCGATTTGAGTTGCCTGCCTGGGGCCTCTTGCTGGGGCCTCCTGGAGCCACGTTGGGGCCATCTTGGAGCGCATTGAGCCATCGTGAGCCTTCTTCGGGGCTTCTGAACCACGTCGCCAAGACCTCAGAGGCCCTCCTTCCGCGGCCGCCCGAAAATGTTCAAGGTCAATCGCGGCCTCCCAAAACCGAAAACATCGCATGCCCCCATCGTGCACCGACAACAAGATTTGCTTCACGGTTTACATGTATTTTTCTAGCTTTACTTCCAAATCCAGGGGCAACGAAATAAGATTTTTCAAAACGAACAAAGAAATCCAAAGAAATCATCATCCAAAACAAGAAAATGAAGAACAAACCGTGGTTTCTGAACCCACTGTAATGGTTTAGCGTGCTCGGGCTAACCTACTTAGACGGGGGGGCTAACCTAGTTAGCTAACCTACTTGGCTAAGCTACTTGGACGGCTTGCCAACCTACGTTAGCTAAGGGGCCTAACCCCCGCGCAAGAAGATAGATTCCAGTCAACCATAAAGGAACCACCGCGGTGATTCAAGTACTGTTGGTACTCCATCGTCAGGATGGGCGCCCCGTCCATCAGGTAGCCGGCCACTCCTCGGTCGGGCGCTCCATCGGGTCCGGCGGCCTCCATCGCCTGGGCCCAGGTCATCAGCTGGGCGGGCAGCTGGTTGGGCAACCCAGGCTGGGAAGGCGGTCCGCTCGGCGTCGTAGTGATCTCCGCCAGCGCCTCCACCGACGTCTCGACCGCCTGGCTCAGCACCGCCCTGGCGGCGTCTCCTCGACTGTCGCTGCCGCCGCCTCTGCTGTTGCCGCCTCCTGGCGGCTGAGTGGTGGACCCGCGGAACTGGGGAGCTCCCTGCACCGAGAGGATCCCCCTCAGGATGGACATGGAAATCGTTATGAACTTCATCATTGCGCCGGACGATGCCGGCAGGATGCTGTGATCGTCGACTCAACTGTCGATGCTGGGAAACCCACGAGCAAAGACTCGAGCCAAAAGAGGCCACGGACAGTATATATACGAGAGCCCTTGGGCCCCTGCTGCCGATGAGGTCGAGAGCTCCCTTGCTGATGGGCTCGAGAGCCCCGTTCCGTCCTTCGTTGCCGTTGTCCAAGACCTTAGTGCGCCCCAAAGATCCTGAGCCCGTGACCTGTTCGAGGCGGGCCCGCTGAGCCCAACACACGATGAATAGGCAGACCACGACTGCGACGATTGAGACGACCGAGTAGCCCAGGCACGTAGGTTCCCTTGGATCCCTGCTTGGCGTTCTGCTCGAAAACCCCCTCGGTCTAGACCCCGCGCGACTTGACCCGGACCCCGCTCGCCTCGACTTAGCTCTAAACCGAAGGATGGAGATGATGAGGTGAGGGATGTACTGCGTCACAGTTCCGTCTGCCAGCATCTTCGGAGGCTTCTCATTGCCAAGGGTGAATGACCCCTCCGTCAGAAAAGGATAGCGCTGGAGGGCCGACGCTGGGACTGTCGGCGGCTCCTCCAGGGAACGCACGATCTCTACCATCCTGTGCCCGGAACCCAGGCGTGTCATGGCCACAGTCGTGCGCAGAGTGCCGGAGCGAAGCCTGTTCCTCGGCAAATCAATCACGCTCTCTAGAAAGTCCAGAAGATTGACACTCAAAATGTGAGGAACAGCCTCTCCGAGCACGGTGGTGTCTATGATGCCAAAGACACCACCTAAACACAACGGAAAAAGTATGGCGCTCACGACCTTGGCCTGGCCTCCCACTCCGTGGGCGCCACGAAGGTGCGTCCGATGTTCAGCAGGAATCTCGACGTACCTGAGGCCGTGAGTCGCGAGCGCCTCGGACTCCCTGTTGAGAGCCTCCACGCCTACCAGGTCGGTCC